GTTGGGCTTACTGTTTTGTATACTCGACAAATGCTACCACTATTGATAGATGGCTTGCAGTACAGCTTGTGTGTGTGTATCTATTTTTTTTATTCACATTGCCTCATCTCTTCAACTCGGCAAATGTCAAGTGATACTCATTGCAGTTGCTGTTACGATCGTTATGCTATTGATTTTTAAAACTAAACTCTTTTATTATTTACTTTCACTTTAGAAAAGTTTTACGATTTCCAAGGAAATTTTCAAATACCAGGCAAATCAGCAACTCGAACGCGCAATACTCAGCAAACGAACCCTCAATCGTCTTTATATTTTTTTTATTTAGTAGACCTCCGACGGCACAAACACAATGCAGCATTATCATTCATTGGCATAAACTCTGATTTATAATACGAAAAATAAACAATCTGAACTCAGCTCTGTGTCATGATGATTATGAAAATGCCACAGAAAAATCGTATACATAAATTCAATGAAGAACGATTTTTCTGCAGCCGCCTTTTTTTGGATGAAAATTACAAAATCGTTCTCACAACGAATGTTAACATTCAAAGTTCGAATATATAAATCAAATTCAGTTTCGTGTACGCTTCAAAGTGGAAAATGAATTTTCAGTTTAGAAAGGCTGCAGTTGACCAAGAATATGTATGTACCGTTGTAAAATTTTATGGCTTTGCAGCAGAGTTGGCAACATTTCGATTTGAATTGAAACTGTAAACACAAGAACCCATATTGACAAGTGCATGAGGTATTTTCGTATTCAGCATTGTTTTAGAAGACACTCACGAGGAGGGAGATGCAAATTAATCATTAAGACTCGTTGTCTGAAAGAAACTTTGGTGACGGAAAAAAAATTAATTTCATTCAAATAAATGTGGTTCTATCTTCACAATTTTCGGTTGAATTTTTCATAAATTAGGGCCAATTATATTTTTTTTTGTATTGATCTGTTAAATTTGATTGGAAGACTCAAGAAGAGAAGTTGACCTTTTATTAATAACAATTAGGTTGAACTAATTATTGAATTGTCTATGAAATGTCAGTGCAAACAAATCCCATAATTCTACCGAAGCATCAATCAACTTGATGTGAGAAGTCAAGCATTCATTTGTTTATTTAAAAAAACTACAGTAGAGCAATAGTTTCATTTAAATTCGAAAGATTTTTTGCAAAAAAAAAAAAAAAATAAAGTTGAGGAAATTACTTCAAAACAACGACCATTTAATTTTGATTAAATGCTTGTCATCATTACCCCAGATGAAGCGCAATATTTTTCTTCCATTCAAACGGTAAAATCTATTTAAAAGCATACGTTGCACGTTTGCCTCTTTATAACAGTATGTTTCGGTCCATTCAATGAGATTAATGAATGTTGATCTTTTCGTCGTCGATTTGACGATTAATCTCTTTGTTGTACTCCCTCTCTCCCCTTCTCTCGCTCTCTTTTTCTTATGCACACCTATACTCTATCTCTAGCATTGACATGAACAAGCAAAATCAGAAAAAAAAATGAGACGAAAATCGTAAATTTTCCATGTATGCTTTTTAATCGTTTCCAAAGTGTTTGTATTTAAATGATGCATTGATTATGTTGAATATTATATTATACAGTTGTTGAATGTTATTGCTTTCGACGTGATGACAACATGTTTCGATGTGCATTACGATCCATTCCACTGAGGCATTACATAAAATATGTTTATTTTTTTATGTAGAAAATAAATGTTCAACTAATTGCTCTTTAATTTCAATCGGTTTGTAAATAATTCCGCGTTATTCATATGTACAATTAATGTTCATTTATGGTACATAAATCTGGATTCAGAATTAGCAGAAGAGAAACTAAACAAGAAGACACCAAATTTTGTCTTCGCACTCACCTGGGTATGTTGGGCACGGCTATTGACGTACCAAAAATAACCGATGACGCCAATTTCAATACATTTATATTTCTTGTCTTCTTCGCCTCTTGATGCTCTAGTGTGAATTGAGTACCAATTTTGGTTTTCGGACAAAAGAAGAAGTTGATCGTTAAGAGAATTTCATGCATGGTTATTTTCTCTGTAGCGCGCTCGCTTATGTAATATGCGTTTGTATTTCAGATTGCTGCAACACATTTGAACAGCTGTTCAATGTGGGCGTATCGTGGCGTTCAAACACTTATTTTTGTCCAATATCACAGGCAACGATCTCGGCTCCTGATCGGTAGACACACATATCGAAAAATTGAAATCTTTATTCGAAATTTGTAGTTGGTAAAATAATATAAAATATTTGCAATGTCAGTAATAATATCCTTAATGCCGTCAAATTTATTGGCCAAACCGGTTCAAGTCGCACAATTTATTGACTGTTATATTTATTGATCATAATTTATATTATTTATATATACACAAAATAGAAATGTTGGATGCAAATCAGACAATGCAAAGCATGAAATTTATTATTTGATCAATCGAGATTTTGTGATCGACTTTTTTTTAATTATTTTTCCGCACACACCGAGTTTGGAAGGTAAAGTATTGGAATCGGTAAAAAAAACATGTTTTCTGGGTGTTTTAGGAGCCAGAGAACACGAATCAGTCGTTTTTTCGATGTCCGAATGTATGTGCGTGGTACCCTGTACCCTGTATTCTGTACCCTGTACGCAAATTTTCTAACACGATAACTTTCAACAAAAAAAGTAATTCAAAATCTGACTTTGTAGGATGGGGATCCCGATGAATAGAAACCATTGGATTTTGAGCGACTTTGGTTGATAGAGTGAAGTGTCATGTCTGGTGTGATGCCCATGAGAAAATCTCAATTTTTCTTCCAAAAGTCATACTTTGTGTGTACTTAAACACTCAAAAATTTGGCACACACATTTTTGGCACGAAAAAACCGAATCTGACATTAGTTTTGCGATACAAATCATTTTCGACACACTTTTCATAAAAAAAATTCAAAAAAATGGATTTTTGTATGGAAGCCATGCCTGTATGATATCGTAATGAGCTGAAAATTTGCACAGCTTATTTTTATCACACAAAAATAACATTATGAGAATTTGAAGAAATTTTCAGAATGTTAGCTTTTTGTAAAAAAAAAAAATAGCTTGTGCAAATTTTCACATGATTACGATATCAAATTCCCATTTTTAGTAGTTTTTGTATGAAAAGTGCGCCGAAAATTGTTTGTATCGCAAAACTAATGTCAGATTCGGTTTTCTCGTGAATTTAAATTCAAGTAAAAGATTTGTAATAAATGCATGTAGTGGATCACAGTGCGGAAAAGTTCATCTTACGGATGTAAGACATTTTATTTCCATTTTGCATACATCTAAAAAAATTCACCTAACGGAATTATAATTTTAATTGTAGAGGAAGTGTTTGGAGTCTGTAATTTTTTACATTAAACGCATATGAACCCACACAATTCTCCAAATCCCATCATTTTGACTGTTTGAACAATATTCATTGATATATTTCGAGCATTTTCGTTGAGAATGGTGCGGTTATACCGCTTCATGCACTCGAAAATCGATTCTTAAGAGCTTCTAAGAAAGTAAACAATTGTTGTATTGTTTCGTATTGAAACACACCTCTTGACGGCACCGGCACCATGTAATACGACGACGAATACACTCATGAATGGCACTAACGATCGATCACAGTCACTTAACAACAGTAAAAGTTCATTATGCGATTTGTGACTTTGTCATAAGCAGAAAAAAGCATATGTCTATTACATTCGAATGCAAATGAATCAATTTCAACACAACTCATTGCACTTCAGCCACACTGAACGAGATGGGTGTTGCAAACAAATTGTGTTTGCTTTTTTTTTCGTGTTTGAAAAATGGCATGACTTCAGCGATGATTCAGATCTGAATTGAACAAAAAAAACATTCAACATTTAAATCAGTTTGAAAATGACTTTTTTGTGTCAATTTATTTGATAAATAATAAAATTGGCAGTTGTGACCTTTAAAAAAACAGTTTCTTTTAATAAAGTCATGGATCCGAATAAACGTATTAATAAGCGATTGAGTGTGCAAAAAAAGTGTATGTCAATTTGAGAAATATAAGAATATTCTTAATTTATTTGCCAATTAATATAATATTTGCTCGAAACTTCAGCCGACCCTCTTTTTTGAGATGGTCCCATTAGTGACTGCTTGAAAAACGACTTTGACCGATCTTTTGTACTCAAATAATCGAGAAAATTGACGTGAATGGTCTGTGATGATCATGCTTATCCTGCAAAGACAACAGAAAAATGTCGATGTCACTGTTTCTGTCACATAGAGTTCTGTGATGGCAAAATGTTGAAGCAAAATTACAAATCAATTAATTATATGCGGTGCTTTTTTAAAAGTCGTTAGTTTCATGAACTTTTGCTGCGTAACATTTTATCATCTCGTCTTCATTTAAGATATAGTTTTCAATGTTGAATGAGTTCTTAAGTTAGTTGGCCTACGTGTATATTGACATTCGTTACCTCACTCGCTCTTTCACCAACGTCTAACATATTATTTTTTTATCGTCAAATTGTTGTTGTTATTTTGCATAAAATCAAGTGTTGTCTCATACCAAAGCGTTTGTTTGTGCATAAGACACAATGCAAACAAAACGACTGTGCACACAATGTGAGAGACGTGAATTAATACGAAGCATATCAATAATATAACAGAAAGAAAAAGAAGAAGAAAAAAATCAACAACAGCGGTGGCGGTGGCGGCAGCGGCAGCCTGATGTATGGCGGTCGTTTTCTGTATGTCTGTAGTGTTATTGCTTACATGAATCTGTTGTCTGTTTTATTTTTCTGTTCGTTCATTCGTTCGTGTGTTTTTTTTATATATACATACATATTTCTGACTGTGTATGTGTGTGTGTAATATGTTTGAGACGACGAAAAGCGAGGTAAGAAAACTAAAAAGAAGTAACAATCTGTACGTTTTTATGTTTAGCCGTCGTTCGTGCACACAACCTAAAGTATAATTTAGTCTTTGGCGGCAACTCAATGGTTAGACACAAACTACGCAGCGACTCACAGCTTTTTTTCTTTTGATTCATTAGAGAGATAGATTCTTTTTTTGCGGCCGCAATCATATTTTTGAATTTCACATTCTTATCGCTGTGTCGTATTCTATAGTGTGTAAATAGAAAAAAACAAGCATCTCTATTTGGAAACTTAGTTATTGCGTGTAGAAGTATTGAAAGAGAAATACAAATTCTAGATTCTTGAATACCGGTTCAAGAAGAAAAACCCATCAAAAGAATTTCATTGAAAAACAAGTGTGAAATTTTCGTTTCATTGATTGAGACGGTTTAATTCCCTTTTATTGAAGCGCAAAAAAAGTGAAATTACAACATCGATCCGTTATAGAGAAAGAGTGAGAATGAAAAAAAGCACATAGAACTAATAGCCAGCGATAATGATCATGTTACTCATAAGAACGGATATGATCGTCTTGTGTGTGTATTGAGAAAAAAGTGATAAAAAAGAATAACCAGTTACATCAAAGAAAAAGAAAGAAAAGATCTTTGTGTTTTGTGAGATTTTTTTTTTGTTCCAAGGTCCGACCGATTAGATTGTAGACACTTATTAAAACAGTAATTTTTTCGGTGACTTTCATCGTTGTTCTTGAATGAAGACATTTAAAAAAAAAATTCTCTTTGCTATAAATAGAGAGGCAGTGCTTCAAATTAATGACAACACCGTTCAATTGTTTTATTCAAACAAAGCGACATAAATTATGCTCTCTGTGTCGACAAAATAGTGTGTTGAACGAAAATAATGTGTATCTAAAATTGAAAGAGAGAGAAAGAAAGACATTTGATGGCAACGAAAACCTGCTACATCGCAATATATCGTATACGAACCGAATGACGGAAAAGAACATGAATGAACAATAAACAAAGACCAATTTTCCTGCTTATGATAGAAACTTACGTTCTTCATTCGTTTTTGTGTGGATGTGTCGCGTATTTCAACGGTTGAATGAGATCAATTAAGAATTTTCGTCAAAACATGCGCAATTCAGATCTCACGTAGTGAACATTTTGACACATAGATAGTATTGTTCTTAATCAGAATCAATTTACGAAAAGAAAACACAACAATTTCACGCCATACAAAAGGAAACAACAACGCAAAAACCACTTTCAACGCATCTGTTCAGTTTAGACTCTGAAAATTTTGTGCACTTTTCAAATTAGGTGAGTATCATTGAATTGGGTTACACATTTATATATGGTAATTCACCTGTGAAAACAAAAAAAAAAAGAGAGTGCCCATATGCGCTTAAAATAGAAATTGTTCAAAAACCTTTGACTTGTAGACCTTTAAGCAACCTTAAACCGGGCAATTTAGTTTACGAGCTCAACATGAAAATTAACGTGTGTCCATTTTTCGCCATAATCATGTCGCATGTTTGGCCCGTGTCATTCACAATATTATGAATTTACACATTGTCCTTGTTCGATGACATTTATACAGATATTCATTTATAATTCAAGCCACCATCATTGTTATTGTTTTTGTTTTTACCCTCATTACTAAATCACCTGTGACTGACACTAAATAGTCTCGTTAATATGTTCGTGAAATATTTAAAAAATCGAATGCAAAAAAGAATGCCATTTTTGTTTAGCTCGAAATCTTCACTTGCCTGAAAGTGGCCGTTTGTCACCGTCTCACTATGTGTGGCTTGCTCAATCTAACATTAAGAAGAAAAAAAACGTGCGAATCAAGTTTAAAACTCGGAATACAATAAGATTTATTCGATGGTAAACAAAGCGTATCAACAATACTGCGAAAAGGAAAAAACGCTGTGACGATGGACGTAATGCAATCACCAAAGAGAAAAGATAATTAAAGAAATAAATCGATCGCTTGCCATACGTGACCTTCGATGTCGCGTGATTAAATAATTTCTTTTAGCAAAATCGTGTCAGTACATTACCTATAATGTCTAGGTAACTACTTACAACATTTCGGTTTCAGAGTGCAAGTCAAGCGTAATCTCTGTCCGATGCGAAACAAGAAAAAATAAAAAAAAATAAAACAAGATATCTACACCATATAGGTGTATTTGGTACACGCGGTACTGTGTCGCGCGCATGCACGCATTTCAAACATTCGACTCTGTGTGACTACTGCTTTATTTGGCGCAAATTGTGACGTTTATGTTTTTTTATATTATTATATGTACTATTTGGCATGGTCAAAAAATTAAGATAATTATATTTTATATAAGTTGGATTTCATTTTAGTTGCCACGAAATGAGGACACACTCAATCGAAATCTATCGTCAACCGGTGCTAAGTAAATGATTTATTGCTTTAGACTTCGATTTTATTTTCAATTTAATCGTTTATAAGCATCGAATCAAATGTTATCACATCAGTTGTATAAACAGAAAAAAAACATATGTGTGGCCGAGAATTATGTTAAGTGCGCCGTAATGATATAGACTGTATCGGATTACAGAGTTAGTTGGATCGGATTACAGAGTTACACTTTAGAGCAACAAATATAAATTGGCTTATTTTATTGAAATGTTTTAGCTGGCGTTTTAATGAATTTTTTTATGAGAAAACAACGATTTAAAAAAAAAAGATTTCAAAGCAAACTGAATTCGGGAATTTTATATGAATGGAATATGGTAATGGGTTTGAGCCCATGGAACATATTTTATTTTGAAAATAGTTGGGTAGAGTAAATTTCAAAGGCTTATCGATTCATTTCTTATCATATTCAAGCAAAAATGCTTCGAAAACGGAAGAACTTTAAGCTAAAATTTGATTAAATGTTTTCCATTGAGCTGAAATGAAAACACTAGAGCTTTCCTTAGTGTCCAAATTAATAATTTTTGTGCGTAAATTGAACCAAATCTGTCATTCGTTACAAAGTACGATTGTAAAAGGCAGCTTGTTGGTAGCTGTGATTTACTTTTTGGTGCATAACAATTGAAATTAATGAATTCTTTCAAGACTTAGAATGTGAAACGTGTTATTGTCAACATCGATAAAATAAGTCACATGGCACGTAATATTTTAAACCAAAATTGGGTAGGAAACACCTCAATTTTTGCTGTTCTCATGTTTTGCATTGGCTTACTTCGAAATCAGGCCACCGCATAAAGAAATCAAGAGAAACAAAAATTTATGCAAATGACATAAAAACCGATTATAAAAACCAGATCGGAAGTGGCCCCTTCAAAGTTTCGTATTTTTCCGTCTATTTTGTAAATGTTATGATTAAGTGTAGTATCATGATTTGCGTGTTAAAACTCGGAGGCGACGACAACAACGGCGAAGGTGGTAACAATGCCAATTAGATAATACGATTGCAATTTAACGAATGATGAAAAACCGACTAAATCGAATAATAAATAAACAAAACACAAATAAATCAAAAACAATGCAAGGTTACAAATTCGATACTATTCGGTTCGTCCGTTGAATTCCAAGTACAGATCGTTGTTTTTCAAAAATAACATCGGAATTATGGGAATTTTAAACGCACATTATTCATGAGTTGCTTGTGTAGAGGAAGTGGACTTTTTGTTTTTGTTTAAGATGAGTCTGTTAATCTTAGTATCGGCCTTAAAAAAATCAATCTTTCCACAAGATTGACCATTTCATAGCCGACGAAAAAAAAATTGATGTGTGTTATATCATTGGGTGTAACGATATATTAACGTTATGATTTGTGAGAAGAAGAAAAACAGACATACACACATTTCAAAATCGACCAATTAATTTTCCAGTTAAAATATGATAGCAACTGGTTTTTTTTTCTTCACAATTATTATACGGGCACAAGAGCGTATACAGTGGCGCACTGTTTCATGCTTTAATTTCACTTAACACACAACAGAACGCCCAATTGACGCATAAAAACCACAATAAACACAATTTTATTATTACGTACGTATGTAGAAAAGAAGTAGTTAAGTTGAATAATACTTGGAACAAATCATTAATTAACACCTCAAAATGTTGGTGCTGTTGAGCAAGCGAACAACGTCAGACACAATTCACACAATAAATAGCGCATGAGTTCGATTTTAGTCGATTTATTTTTTTTTCTCTTCTATAAAATCAAAATAAGTTTGAAAAGAGTTTTATGAGCAGTGCATTTTTTATGGCAGATGATTTACGAGGGAAAATAGAGACATTATTTGTATGTGTGAGAGTGTGTCGAGCGTTCAAGACCAAAAATCCATTTTACTTGTTTTATTTAATGATTCGTTCAGTTTCTGAAATTCAATTGAACGTGTTAAACGTGTGCATTTGTTTTGTTGGCACATCGTGTACGCCTCATTCCAGTGATCCCAACACACACACACATCAATCGGATGTAATAAATTCATACGCAGAGGAAATAAATCGAGAGTGTTGTACAGCACATTGAATAGATTCTAATTAACACATATCCTTGAATGAAAAGGTTAATAACCGCTGCAATGTCGGCATTCATATATCGACAGTTACACTGTGCTCATTATGTACTCACCACCTTATCTGCGTATGACAGGAATGATGGTAATCAAGAACTATCGACTGAGAACCGAAACGAATTGAAACGTTTCTTCGCTTATCCAAATCGACACCTTTCATTTTCAAATCGATCCTCATTCATTTTGTATGCGATCAACTTCACCAGTGAAGTTGTTCGTGTAGAAAATATTCAAACAAAAATTAGATGCATATACAAATTCAATCAAATCGCTTCAATACCAATATCGCCACCGCTTGAAAGAATCTCATATTTACTCATATGCGCATGTATGAATATGCATCTTTAAATGCATTCAGATTTTAAATCAGCGGCCGATGAATCCGGTCAATGGGAAAATAATCGCATTTCGACGAAAATAAAAATCGAAAACGATAACATTTATTTAACACATTGAATATAAATTGATGCAAGAATTTATACGTTTTTCATTTGAATTGATAATTAAACTCCAGCAATAATATGAATATAAAAAAAAGTTGTAATAATAATACCGACATGATGAAACGAGGCAATATGAAACGAATGAAAATGAAAAAAATGAGATACATGAAACCCGCAACGCATACACATCGATTGAGAGATTGTGTAAACAAACTAACTGAACCAAAAGCAAACGAAGCGCAAAATAATAATAATAATAATAAAAAATTTGTGTAATGCAATAAAATCGGTTTGTAGTCGTTCCACACAATCACTCACTCACTTGCATATTCAGTCGCATATACAGTCACAATCGAGAGCCACAATGGAATCAAGCACAAATCACGGTCAAAATTATGTCATTTTCCATTTGCGGTTTAGAATTTTAATGAGATCAGTTGTAATGTACGTGCGTGATTGTTACAAATAAGCAGCCAATTCGACGTGTCTAACATTGTAAAACTATTGTGCAAATAAAATGAATTCGAAATTATTGGGGATGCTTCGAAATTGGCGCGCCACAGAGAACGCACACCAATACAAAAACCATGTCACGCACATACACACATTCACAATCGCATATATTCACTTATAATATTCACCTCCACATGGGCATGCCACACACACCATTCCAAAAACCGCCGCCAAGTCAGCCCAAGTCAATCTGAGCCATGTCAATTACGCTAATTTATTTGCAAAATGAAAATGATTTGCAATTGAATTTGCAGTTGACGGGCACGCATAATAAATTGCGTTAATTCCATGAAATTAAATGACTTTTCATATATTTCTTCTGTTTCTTCTTCTTCACAATTTTTCGTGCACGCTACTCTTCTCGCCGACCGACAACGATACGAATATTCTTGATACGGCTCATTGTTTATGTTTCACACCAATTTATATATGTCTGTTTTTCTCTTCCATACTCATCTAGATAATTTGCTGTGATGAATGGTCTGTCTCAATGGATTTGTATTTTTGCGTTAATCTTTGCCGGTGACGCTGCTATCGAACCGCCGCCATGGAGTGATCCAAGTCGAAATCCATGCGCTAATAAACCAGGCGGTTGGCAACTTCTATACTGGGCACCGCTTAAACAATGCTTCAAAATATATACGGTAACCTTTACAAAACACCTTCATTCGAACGAAAAAAATGTTAAATAAATTGAATTTTGTATAAATGCAATTAGATGGGCTATCCATGTCCAGATACAATGGAATTAACACCCGGCATGAGAAGTACACGTTCATCGAATGGTTTGATAGCCGAGTGCCGATGTCCGCCTGGTACAGCACAAAATTTTGATTCAACCGCTTGTTATAAATTATACGAGCAAGGACCTTGTGATATTGGTCAATTCTTTGCTCCAGTCAATGAACCGTCTAATGCAGCGATGTATGTGATTGCATTACGAAGCATTTTTGACGTTGAATTTTTGTGATTTTCAACTGAAATCGTAATGTTGTTTTTTGATTTTTTTTTTTTACCAGACCAAAGAAGCGAAAGGGCTTTTGCAAAACACCACCTGAATGCCCCAATGGACAGGTTTATTGGCCACAAGATTCCAAATGCTACACGCTTCATACAAAAGGTCCATGTCAAAAAGGAAAACTATTTGTCATTGGCAAAAATCGACTGGCAGAATGCAAGGTAATTTTAAGCAATATTTCTTCATTTTTTTACGAAATTTATTTCATTTATGAAATTTTAGTGCGAAAATGAAAACGAACTGGCACAATATTATTATAAGCCGTTCGGAACATGTTATGAACATTTTACGGTGGGACCATGTGAAGATGGTGGCAAAATATTTTTACCAGGTGGAAAATGCGGTTGTCATGTAAAATTGCCAAATTATCATGAAGACACTGATCAATGCTATGAACTTGGTATGGAATCTTCAAATATTTTGTGTGAATTTCGCCATAAAATTTCTGAATTTTCAAATTCTTCGGATTTAATTACAGGTACCAATGGTCCATGTCCGGCTGGTTATTTGTTTACCATCCCAGAAAACAGTATACAAAATCAGTATGCTCAGTGTCAGTGCAAAGAAGGTTATGCAAGTTGGCCAGATGGTCAATGTTATCGTTTGTATACCAGAGGTCCATGTGCAAATGGTGAATTTTTGGTGAATTCAACGACATGCATTCGGAATCCATGTGGAAAAGGTCGACTCTATTTTCCCGATGAAAAGACGTGCTATCGTATTGGTTATCAGGGTCCATGTGATCTGAATCAAGTGGTTGTCTTTGATTTCACTGTTCGACCATCCATCGATGGTATTTCGTATAATGGTGTGTGTGGATGTGCGGGCATTATTAAATCTTTAGATCAAAAATGTCAACCAGAAGATATTGTGGAGAAAAATCCGTGCCATTCAACACCCGGAATGGTTGAGATAAATGGTTCCTGCTATAAATTGTACACCAAAGGTCCTTGTGCCGATGGTCTTTGGCTGGAACCGATCAAAATTCTCAAACGAAGCGATAAACGTGGCGCACATTGCGCATGCAGACCAGGTAAATAACAATTTTTTTGAATCATTTTTTTTTCTCTTTGAATTAATATATTTTCATTTTCTCACCAGGCTATACTAAATATGAAACAGCTAATGGTATCGGATGCTACGCACCAAATATAGGTGAATGACAATTATTTTTTAATTCCACCAACAAAATGTTTAATCAATTCAAATTTAATGAATAATTTCATTTTCTCCATTTTCCAGGAATAGCGAGGTATTTAAATGGGAAAAATTTCAGCATTTCAATGCTTGGCGAGGAGTTTGTTAGCTCATTTTTTAATACAACATCGCATGCCACGGTTTTTGCAACCAGTTGATTTTGAAATTTAATTTGTTTTACTATCCTATGCATATTGAAAAGTTGTAATCATGTGTATTTCAATTTCACAGAAGCTCTGCTTTTTCAAATGATTCTGTGTTTGACACAAATTCCATAAATAATTATTTAATTTGACAATTTTAACTCGTGAAAGTTACCATTTTTCAAAATCATGCACAATATTTGAAAAGGTAGAGTGAATCGAATCTATTTTCCTATGGTGGTGTTCTTGAAATTTGGCGTATACATATTTTGTGTTTAGTGTATTTTCATCAAACAGTTGAAAACTTAAATTGTAAATAGCCAATATGTGTAGAGTCTGCAATCAATTTGATTCGAACCGATTGCAATATTTTATATATGTAGAAAACTATCGAATAGACTGATTAGTTATGTGCAAATAACATTGTATACATGTATAACCATATTAATTGTTTACAAAACAAAAATCAATTTCATTGATTTAAAACTGTAATTTTAGTTTCAAATTGTCTATTTCGAGTCTATACCTACATTACTGTTTTGATATGGCTTGTTTTGCATGCTGGTGTTTCTTGTATTTTTCAGTATTGTTTACACATGATTCTATAGGGTAGACATGGACTATAGTTGTCAACGAACCGCTGAGAGAAAAACTCAGAGAAAAAACTATAAAAAAATAGATTTTCTTAAGTAAAACTGACTCATGGAAAATGTACATGTGTTTTACTTGAGAAAAAAACTAGATCTTACTAAGAATCATGTCTATCCTCTAGGTTTAAATAATTTAATCCTTCTACTTGTGTGTGTGTGTCTTTTTTTTTAAAAAATCTTCTAAATAGCAACCGCAATAGCTTGGCCATTTTTCTTCCACATTTTCTCCCTATCAATTCACAATCACAGATGATTTCAAAAATTTTCTTTATGTAGGTGGTTTCTAAATTTTTTCGGATATCCAACAGCTGAAGAAGAATTGCACAATTAGTGATTCTTGTGCATCGGAATGCGGAAATCAGATTATTTCAAACATCGAATCATTCATTCAATTAAAAAAAACGGAATGAAATAGTCATAACGAAAAAATATTTGTCACCAATTTGATTGGCTCGCAAATCAAGCGATCGATAAATGTTTATGCTTTTGATTTCCCCCGTGTATTCAAGCCGAATTGAAATTTGTTCAGCGAGAATATAGTTTTTAGAATAGTTAAGTTTCAACAACAAATACGAAATGTTAAGTGTTGTAATGTGATTGTGCCATATAACTCGTTTTTAACTAGAATCATAAACAAAAAGAATTATGTATGACTAACTATAAGAATTTTATAAATAATAAAAAGAAAAATCAGTTGAAAATCGAATTGTTCGTATATTATTCTTTGTTCGCTTGGTATTTCAAATGCTCAATCAGGTGTCATACACAATGGTAGCTACGAAATGTGGCCAATTTTGCAATAGAATTGCATTGCAAATAACACAGCCGAGACTATACGGTTTAATTTCGAGTTGAATGAAGCGTTTCGCACAACACGAAAATTAATTAGTCAGCACATAAACGAAATGTGCAGGGTGCACACAGTGCACACACGTTCAACAAATTACTAGCTCGTAAACGTAATTTATCGTCATATATTAATTTTGAACTCACACAGGTAGATAAAATCATCGTTGCATTATCTACTGCCAATACACACATTCGTCAGCGAGAACGCATCATAAATTTTCTTCAACAATTGCATTTTTTTTATGTTTCCATATTGAACGTCCTGAATCAGCTAAAATGAAATGGATTTTCCAATCATGTTAATAATAACGACAATAAACGTTTACTACCATCATACACAACGAGTACGGTATTCGTTGTTCAATGGAGCCTCAAGTCGAAGAGACAGAGACAGACAGAGAGAGAGAGAGAGATAGAGAGAGATGGAGAGAGAGAGAGAGAGAAAGGGAGGGAGATGATGCTACATTTTGCTCAATATCAACGACAAATTTCAACATATATTTATTGTTTTGCACACAACATAATCAGTATAAACTCGATAACTTCACCTCGACCTCGAAATGCTCCAGTTATTCAGTTTAGTCATAATCAACTCAAAATTGTTTACTTTTATGAAATGTATACGATGTTGTTTTTAAGCGATTTCTCATGCATCTATCACTTCATCTTTATTGGAATGAACTCATCCATGCACATAATTAACATTGTGATTGAGCTCTCTACTGGAAAATTATTTAAAACTCTTATGCACCGTTGTCTTTGTGTTTTTGGTAGAAGATTTGTGTGCTTTAGAATAAAAATGCTCATTGGGATCACTTCCATGTGTATCCATGTATCTGCAGGTATCGATATATACCCGTACCTGCTTGGGGACGAACACTGAGCGTGTATCTAGATTTTGTTAGTGTAATTTGGTTAGTTCGAACTCCCACCGCTTCAATTTATAATTCAAATCAAATACATTCGAGTGTGGCGCTGCTTGCATGTTTCGCTTCGGGACGAACTGTTTTCGTCTGAACGCAAGTCAAGGAAGGCTATTCCAACTTCAGGCATTTTAAACCATCATCTTTTCATATCAAATGTTGCAATTAGATTAATGTTTTTTTTTGTTGGGTGCTAAATCATCAAAATCAGCGCATATGAACTCAATTTGATAGTGATAAAATGACTTTTTCAGAACAAAGTGTCATTTTGATGTAATTTCTTTTGAAAAAAAAAAAAAAATCCTCCTCGGGGCTCTCTTCCTCCTAGTTTATTTTTCTTATATAAAATTCCTCCTCATGAAAGGAACAATTCCTGGATTATATTTGACTATATTCATTCAAACAAATAACGTCCCAAAATAGCCGACTGCCAATGAATTTAGCTGTAGCCGACTGTTTATTTATACTTGACTGTGTATCTTTTTTGCATGGATCGCAATCGGTTATTTCCACTTTTATTCTCATCCAGTCGTTTCTCTCGAAAGGTCTTCTAGTCTACAACAAATTGTAGCAGAGATGGAAGTGGAAAACTAAAGAAATATGAATTTATTGTTAATCTTACAACTTAACCGAACGATGGAGACACCGCACGGTAAGATTTATACCCTTCATTTTAAGATTTAAATTTTCATTAGTTCATAAATTTTAGTCAATCTTTTGATATTTATAAGACTTTTGACATGATAAAAATCATAAATGTTAACATACCCTACGGGCTACATCAAGAATCTTTTGGATTCAGTCCGAGTTCGAGACAATTTTTTCAAACATTCTCAATATTCCAAATATTACTTTTTGAATTTTTTTTATTCCTCCCAAATGATGACGATTATGATGATGCTAATTTGAATGAAGAATAAGTTCTTTGATTTTCAATGTCTATAGCCATTAAAATGGTTTGATTCGTTGTCCATTGTTGAAAATAACAGTAATTTGTTGACTTATCAATTTGGAATTTTCGATGCAGAGTGTACGTGTTGTTGTTTGATCACTTCCGGCATGTTAAATGCCAACCGATAACAGGTTGTGCACGCATGCTACTTCAACTTGACTTGACTTCATAAACGATATTTCAATAATGTGATGTTATTGAAGGGGAAAAACGTTTTTCATTGAACGATCCAAACGATGAATTTGAACAACATATAAATACATGTTAAAATTTCTAACAAGTCATGGTTTGAAAGAGCCATCAAAATAACGATTCATCCATCTAAAGTGAGATTAGAATTCTTCGTACACTCATGTATAACAGAACTAATAATTCAACAGATCAAAGTCGAAACCACTTTCCATAGCACATTTCAAGAATAATAAATGTAAATCGGTAATTTCATATCAATGTACTTACGAAATGAATAAAAAAGAAGAAAATATATTTGACTTCCTTTCACCGAAATGACCATATAAAATTATTGTCAAAACAAAAATAAACGAAATGTAAAGATTAATTTAAAATAATGTCAGATAAAGAACGCTCATGCACATGCAATTTTTTTTTGTTGCTCATTTTTATTTACGCAATTTACGTTCTCTAAATGACCCGGAAAAAAGGAATTTCGTCACTCATTTGCGTGTACAAGAATATGCAAAAATAAATATATATAATAATGACTTTTGTCTGTCAATTAAAATCAGGGGGGTTGGGGTGCGTATTTGATTGAAGTCGACGATAGTCGAAATTTTAGAACCTGAATAGATTGAGCATGGCCAATGGCCATCCCCTCTCAGTATAAACAAGCGATGACTGTCGCGTGTTGTGTACTTTCCTCGCGATTGATTAAAATGCAACCACGTTTCCCGTTTTTAAATGTTCCAATTCGATGCCAAAGCGAATTTTTTTCTCTCTCTCTCTCGCATTCTGTGTCGATTTTAAACATAAAGTGACCGTTTGCATTTATAAAAAAAATCTGTTCGGGGACACTTCACACAAAACATTTTAATCAAATTCATCAGAATTAATTGGATGTATCAGAGAAGAAAAAAACCGTTTTTGTTGTTGTTTTTATCTTTCGTAATTTGCCAAAAATCAACGTAGCGTAAATTTAAATGATTTAAACAACGAACACGCTGGAAATATACACGACGAATGAATATATACTGTATCGTGTGGTGTATTGATTATATTGAAGCAGCATCGACAGACGGGCGGTAGGTCGGTTGGACGGTCGAATGATAATAATAGCGACCGGCTACAAAGCGGTCAAAAGCCACTCACAATACGTATGCAATTTAATGAAAATAATTATAAAACTGATAACTAACCTCCGATTGAATGGCAAAGGATGAAGAATGCCACTCATCTCTCCATGCCATATATGGACGATGAATTACACAAATTCGACTCATTATTTGTAACGACGTTGACGGCGGACGTGGAAGAACAAGCTCGTCTTCTAAAACTAGCATTTTTTTAGTATTTCTTAACGAAGTTGAACATTTTTGCTTCATTACATGTTAAAATGATAAAAATTTTCGGTTTATTTATTTTTTTTGGCATTTTTCAATTGATTGAGTGCAAATCAGAAGATGGAAAACGTGAAAAAGTGAGTTTTTTTGAGTGAGAACAATTATTCAGTTTTCTGTCAATTGTTTTTCAATCTTTTGTTTCAAATTTCGAAATACTATTTTTTCGTTGAAAACGTATAAAAGTATTTGCTATCTTCTAAAGTGTTTTTTTTTTCTATTTTCAATAATTTTAGGAAGTGATCTTTACAAAAGTCAGTTATGAAATCAACAAAAATATCATGACCATGAAGGTTAATTTAAAAAATAACACAAATGGAAAGCCAACGGTTGATTTGAATGCCGAACTATTTGTTGATATACCAAATGAGCTATATGTAAGTTTATTGACCAGAAATGCCAGAGTTGTTGGAAAATTAAAAACGAAATTAAGTGAAAATCTCTTCATTTCGAATCCAGATCAATAATATTATATCAAAGCGAGCATCCGAATTGGAATACAATGCTTTGATAAAAACCGGTCGAATAAATTTATGTGATTTTTTCAAGAATCCCAACCGCGAACCATTCCTAAAGGTATTAATATCAAATCTAGGAAAATATGGTCGCATGATGTTTGATTGTCCAGTGAAAAAGGTGAGTTTTTAACCTAAAAAGCTAAACATTTCGCATGCAGAAGCTAAACTAATTCTGTGTCAATATTTTAGGGAAAATATTACTTAAAAGATTTTTACATGGAAGCAAGTGCATTGCCATCATTCACACCGCCCGGCGATTATCGCATCGATTTTACCGTTAGCCGAAAGGAGAAAGATGCATATGTGCAGATTTATCGTATGCAATGGTATGCAACGGTTATCAACTAAACCAGATTTCACGTATTAATTTCGTTGAATTGCACCCAGCTTTACAAACCCAAAGAGAAAACATGTGTTTTGTTTGCTAAAATAAATAGTCGTCATGAACGAGAGACGTTCCATTTTGTTTGTTTGTTGATATTTATTTTGTGTGTTTTTTTTTTTGATGATAAAATTCACAACAAAAAAATGTTATACATATAATTCATGGGTGCTCGTTTATATTGCAATAAATCAATGAATTCGTGATCTTTCACCCGGCAAACTATTCGAACCAGTAAAATTCGATAGAATTTGTGACCGTGCCGTGAATTTGTGTTGCATGTTAATGGTGGCGCGACGAATCGAACAAATTCAAGAATTATTTTAACAGTTAACAGAGTATTTAATTTGTCTGTCAGTTGTTGGATGAGCTTTGCAATGCCATATGGTTCATATATTGTGCACTGTGATTCGTCAGAATTTTGATGCATAATTTTGAAAATAAATACGTATTTTCGGTTCTTTTTTTCTTCTCTCCCTCTCTCTCCCTCTGTGTGTCGAACGTCATTTTGCAATGTGTCACATTTTACACCACCATTCTTTTTGGAAACATTTTTGATCATCATCCACTGTCGCAATTTCGAATTTTGTATACGGATACATCTCCTAATTGCATAAAATTACATTGAAAGAAAACGACGAAAAACAATGAAGAAGAATTTGGAGGAAAAACTTTTTTACACAAAGTAAACACGCAAATGAAATCGAAGAAAGAAAAACTTTCCAGCAAACTTAACACAGTATCAACTTAATTTATCATGGCCCGCACATCCACAGCTCACAATCGTACACACAGTCTACTTTCAATTAGCCCAACTAAAAATGAAGGAAATTTTACTGTACACGACCATTGCACTTGTTGGATGAAAGAGAGAGAGAGAGAAGAACGAGTGAATGCAGTCACTTTGCATTTTCCATCCAAATGTGGGATTGTTGAGTTGTTGGCGGCAACGGTGCCGAACACGAGATGAGATACCAAACTCGGCTTTGAGCGTGAAGGTAAGCGAAGCTTTAATCAAATATCAAAAAGTTGAAATTAAAACCGCTTACGCGTGACATTTATCTATGCGATAGCACAAGCTATATCGCCGTTAGTGTAATGATGAAGACTCATAAAGGTTTGCCAGCTCTCGTTTTTTCTTCTTCTCAACAATCCTCCACCAATCCATTGCTACATTTATTTCGTATTTTATTCGTTGGTTTGTGTGTGTGTGTGAGAGAGAGAGAGAGAGAGAGAGAGAGGAAAAAAGAAACTCTTTGCAATTCGTTGCAATTTACTGTCACAGTACAGATGTACGTAGAAACGCGGAAATTTACCGAACAAGACTGTAAAAGTGGTTGGAATGTTTATTTTTTTCTTCTTCTTTTTTTTTTTGAGGGGGAGGTGCGGGGTAAATTTTTATAGATTATTAATATATTTTGCATTAAGCTCCGTTTGACTGTGCAATGCACTGTGTATTGCGTTGATTTGTTGTCGTTTGCCTGCCTGCCTTGTCTGCCATCCAGCCTTGCCACGGACCGACGAAAATTTTCCACAAACAAAAATGAAAATTCATTCAAATTCTGAGTGAGTGCATTACGGTTGTCGTTGTTATTCTTTGTCGTCGTCGTCGTTCTCGTGTGTATTTGATTTATATTTTGTTTCTGTTTTGTTTCGCGCTCAACTGCTGATGCTGTGTATTGTGCCGTTATGTGTGTGTAGCCACTTCGTGTAAGCGCTTTCTCGTTATGTTGCCAAAGATGGTGCAATACAAACAACGAAACTAAAACAAAAAAATGCCCAAGAAAAACAAAAAACACACAACAACACTCAGAATATAAAAAAAAGACGACAACAACAACCCTCGAACCAAACGAACGAAGAAAAAAAAATTGAAAGAATAAGTTGCACACAAAAACCAAATGCAACACACAATAAAAAGAGAGAGAGAGACGGTAAACGGCTCGGTGTGATTTTATTCGCACATTTCGAGTACTGTTGTAATGGTAAAAGAAATGCGATTTTGGGAAACGATGGGGCGAACAAAAAGGCAAACAAAAATATATATATAAAAAAATAGAGCGATCAAAAAACGACAATGACGACGAAAGAGTGGGTAAAAAGAGGTAGACGGGATAGAATGAATGCGCGCGGAATGAGAACGAGAACTAAACAAAACTGACAAAAGAAGAAAATAGTATCTCATATAAAGTTGTTCGTTGTGAAAGAATCATTTCATTTTATATAAATTGTTTGAATTTTAAATTGTCTTTCACTTTGGAACTTTTGCAACGAACGCACATTGCCTTTTTGAATGTGTATCGCTTGCCGTCTTCGCCTCGCTGATGCTGTTGTTGGTTTTTTTCTTCTTCTTCATCATCATCATCCACCCGGCTATACGACTTTTCTCGGTCGGCGTTTTTATGTGAGCGACATTTTGATTGGTATGCATTGTTTTTTTTTTCTCTTTCATTTCTCTGCTTGCACTTTTGCATTAGATACTATTTTATTTGTATATGCCTGTGTGGTGTGTAGTTGGTACGGCGAATGATTTCGATAGTATTGTGCGACAAGCGACTATTGTGATTTTCATGCTCAGTTTCACAGATATCCGAGGCATCCTAATTTTCATTTTATATATAGATTTACATTCCATAACATCTCACTACACACTTGATGGCTCTGTTAGATGTCTATAATAACCTGATGTTCGTACTGGTGTCATTGCAATTATTTGTCGAGCCGAGTTTTACAGTGATTCTTTGTTTTGCGCGTGTTTTTTTCTCTCTTCTCTGTGTAATCGCTTACGCTTCGCGAATTTTGTTTCTCTTTTGTTGTTTTGCACCGTCGCAAAGAAATATTCTTTCCTGTTCAGTCGGTATGAACTGAAATTGGAAATGGGAACTGTTTAAAATCGAATTACAATTTTGAAATGTTTTTTTTTTTGTTGATGCCATTTTTTAACCAATGACATTATAATTACCACTAGATCAGATGCTGATGGATACACGTATCAAGTAGCTTTTAAAAAAAAAAAAAGACAACCGGCCATTAGTAGAGAAAAAAGCATATACGATTTGTTGGATGCACATTGCACAAACACATACGGAGATTGTGGTTTGATACACTTTGATCAGACCTGTTTTATAATGCGGCGTAAAGTCAGCAGATTATTACATTTTTCAATCAAAACTAACAAGATCGTCTAGGCATAACGTGAAGAGGGTGTGGATTTTCAGCGTATTGTTCAAAAAGACGATGCGATTTGAAAAGAAAGTTTATTCAGTAAACTCACATGTGCAATCGCATTTGAAAAAGATTTAAAATCCCTTCAAATGAAAAAAAAAAAAATACATACATATACCGACCAAATATCACACTGTTTCGCTTTTTTGAGCCCACTTTTGCCGTACATTTCTTTTCTGATGAGCATTTCAGAAAACCACAAATGCACAACGAAATAATGAAGGCCCGAGCCACTTTGAAACTCCACCACACAAAATAGTTTCGAGAAATGGTAGGAGAAAAAAAACATACACACAGGTCAATGACATTTTTTTCTCTCAAGATGCTGAATTTCGGAAAAAGTACTCAATTCGATAGAATAAAACGACGTGATACGAAGAAAAGGAGCGAGAAAGAGAGACAAACAAAAATAATTCTATGACTACAAGACCGCCGACGTATGAGCATGAGAGCGAGTCTGGTATGTACATTTGATAACTTGATGATGATATCGCGTATGATAGCCATAAAAGAACAGCTATCAGACATATGAAAGAAACTTGAAATGGAAGAGAGTGAAGAAAAAAAAAAGAAGATCGTTGACTAAAGAAAACTTCCAAAATGAGAGGTAAAATTGAAGAAACCGAAGGGGGAGTGTGAGAGGTCTCAAAGAAGATGAAATTTATTAAAAAGTTGTTTAAAACACATTCAATTCCGCCGACAGAATGGAAACACCAAACAAATAAGCAGTCTATTTCTTTCGTTCTTTTCGCATTTAATCAACAACCACAAATACTCTATCAAAAAGAAGAAGACGAGAAAAAAAATTGAGTAATTTTATGAATGGCATCCAATTCCAAATGACCCCCCAAAAAATATAATTCGACCATTAATTATCTTGAAAACAAAAATCATGCGGCTTCTTCACAATTTACCTAAAGATAAGTAAATTCACAATGTTCCCTTTTCATTTCCGTGTTTTCAACTTAAAAATCGCCACAAATGCGTCTATCATTTCAACATGATGGCAAAAGAATATCATTTTTGTGGTTTCAATTGAAATGAATTGAGACCAATAACGGACACACCCGAATGATATTGAGAAAGAAAAAAAAAAACTGAAATTTGAAGCAGAAGCGTACAATGTGACACTGATTTTGGTGAATCGTTGAAGTGTGGAAATTCAATTTTCAGCCGATTTGATGATGAAATGTGAGAAAAGTATCAGGCCAAAGTTACGATTCAACCGATGTTGAAAATGCAATGACGACAACGATGACGACGATGATGATGATGATGATCAAACACTTTCAACAAAACGTAGAGAAGTGCACAGTGGCAAATACCTATTTTCGATATTATTATTTTATTTCAGTTTCTCCATGCATATGCAATGAGTGATAAAATAAATTTACATATGAATAGAATATTATTTTCGAATGTGTCTTTCGGTACTGGTATCAAGCATTGTCGGGCTTGTGTATGTATATAGCTATATCGTTGCTACTATTTAGTAAATCAAGTATCTCTATTTCATTCTCACATATTCATATGATGGCATATAAGCGCTTATGTCAGGGTGCTTCGAAAACCATTGAGCCATTTGCCATCGTTAATCACGCTCTCATCCTCATGCGAAAGTGAGTCAAATGCGCCTATAGCTCTGTATGCATACGTCGTAAGGGCCATACATTGCATCCACCATCCAACGACAGAGGGTAAATAAATACATGCAAAGTGGTGCGATATGAATTTGTTGTAACTTGTTTTGTTGTGATGCGTTACGTTCAATCACG